TACATATAAGAATACACATTGTATTATAATTTAACAAAAGTCATGCTTCATTTCAAACAAATCATATTTAATTTCTTCATGAAAATTTTTCATCACGGCATTGTTGATCACGTGTAGTTACAAAAATATAACCCTAAGATGAATAGAAATTTTACTTAAATGAAGATATAAATGTCACCTTCAAAATATCTCTCATTCACAACTGATATCAAGTTTACAATATGAACATGTAATTCGTGAGTTAATTCTGAGGAACTATTAAATAATTACTAAGGAATTAATGCAAATTACACGCTCACACTATAGTTTACTTTTTTTTCATACAAAAACATATTGATTCAGTTAAATGATAGATGAACTTGATTTGACGGTGAACATCTTAATGACAATGAACCAGCTGTTAAATGTTAAATTTTATAATTTTAGTACGGTTTTTAAATAGTTTTTATTGAAATTTTTTGAAGCACCAATTATTATTTCTAATTGACTACTTTGAGAAACTTTGTTTAGTTGACAACAAATTTAATGTCGATTAATTTTGTCAGTTTCATATATGTATAAGAATACTCATTAATCTTGTATAGGACTCAATGAAAGACACTTGTAACTTGTGTACCTGTGTGTAATTTTACGCTACAGTTTACACTGCAACTGTAGCTGATATAACTGTATATGTGTACTATTCGAGAAGTAAGATAAAAGTAGGATATGTAGGCTGCCTAATAAGTACCTCGCGCACGCCCCCTGACGCGCCTACTTGTGCCCGCAGTAGGCTGGGTAAGTAGGTCCTCATGAACTAGAGAGGCAACCGACTTTCATTTCTGTTCGGGCCAGCGTATAGTGAACATATATAGTTATACACTCATGAGCGCGCGCTGAAACGCCCTGAAGGTTTATTGCGAAAAATAGTCTTGCCACTCAACTTTTCGATATTTTCTTTTTTGGAGATTGTAGAGGAAGGCTTACAGTTTATGATTATGTGTTGTAACATATGAAAATGAGTTTATTTAACACTTTCATGGAACCCTAAAAACTGGAAAAAATGCATTTTTTGACACTTTGGGAATTTTTTACTCGAAAACTGTGGGGCTTAGGTATATACGTTCCAATTAGTTTTTTGTTCTAAATGTGCCAAAGAATCTGAGATTATCATTTTCAGGTCAAAAAAACATCTTTGAAGAAATTTTTTACAAAAAAATAGTTTAAACAATACCTGACCACATTCTTGGGTGGCAAGATAAACTTTTAGGTACATTACTATATTTTGAACAAGAAATCACAAAAAAACTGGGTGCGAATAACTTTTCCCGGTTCATCACTGTTTGAGTCCGGTCTAGATCGATCCTCTTAAGTTTTGGTACATTAGATTTCCATGGAATTGCATGGTTGGCATATGTTAACAGATTATTTGAAGAAACATTTAGGTACAAATTAAATTAAGTAATTTATAAACTTCATTCACATACAAGACGATAAATTCGACAAATGTAGTATTATGCAAGTTGAAGTTGAAGCCTGCAGTGAGTGTAATAGTACATGTATGGATTTGTTATAACTGATACAAAAATGATAAAACTATCATACATCTGTCGCGGCGTATAATGTGACGCAATATTTTATTTGCATTATCAAACGTATTTAATAATTACTTTAATGGCATTTTAACGAATGTATTTTCAGATAAAAATTACATGTCATTCCATCTCATCTGTTACACCAAAATTTCATAGAAGTTATTCCACCATGCGCGCAGTGATGCTGTTTTTTTGTTTCATGCATCTAAACTTACTTATTTTCTGATCCAACAGTAGTATTTATCTTATCTACGATTCAAGTGGTTTTTACAGTATTCATATTTTCTGTGAATAAATGATGAGAAAAATATCTGTACACTTTACAAGGTGTGCACAAGATGAGTCACACTTATAATTAGCCAAAATTTGCCATACTTTGCCAATTACAATTTGTCAAACTTGTTACTTTTGATTTAATCGAATATAGAAAAACTATGGCAAAGTTTGCTAAAAATTTTTATATAATTCATTTACTTGTTTGTCTTGTATCCAAGTTTTACATAAATAAGCTATTGATGAACCTTTAGAAAGATTGATTTTTGCTGTGCTAAATAGTAGATAAGTTTTTATTTGTGTCATTATATAAAATCTTTTTTTTTTAGTTTTTAGTTTTTTGTTAATTCTTATTTTTGGTATTGTTGGTCTATTCATATTCTCTGTTTTCTCATTATAAATCAACATTAACGATTATTTGAGTTATTGTGTTCATTATTTTCTTTCTTGCAACATAAAACACATTAGGGTTAAGAAGTCCGAAGATCATCTAAGCACTTCTAATCAACAGATTGCATCGTACATTTGCTTTGAGTAAATGATATTATCTAGACATTGTATGAGGTAATGTAAGAACTCAACACAGTGCTTAAAAAACAGCACTGGATCTAAAACTAAATAAAAAATTTAGTTACATTTTACACTAATAAAGAGACTAGTCATATTTACGCGCGCGTATACTAAATATCCAGTTTCAACCAATCATCGAAAATTTTCTACGTTAATTCCTTTTTTAGAAACGCCTGGTACGTCGGAGCCTGAGCATTCGCTACAAAGCCAGCAGTCAGCAAGGTGCCAAGGTATAAAACTGTACCTTTGCTTTCTTCTACTTCTTGCCTTCTACTCTGAAACATTTTTTTAGTCACCGCAATCACCACCGCGAAACTGCGTTCAAAGTTGCTACTTTCATTCTCTCTTCTGCATTTTTTGTTCTCTTTTTCTTTTATCATACATGTTGATCACTTTCTTAACTGCTTTTTTTAAGTCTGATCTCAGATGGTTAGAAGTAATAGTTTAACTATCTTTATATCAATAAAGAATATGTGTTTTTGTAACAATGTCTAGTTATGTCCATTGTGAATGTATTTATCTCACTATCTGTTATAATATATCTTTTCATTTGTAACTGTTTAGTGTATATATTTTTACAGTCAGCTTTTTTCTAAATATAATAAAAACGTTCTTCTTATACCTATCAAAGTAACTTAGAACATTGAATTAATACACTTTTTAGTTTGTTAAGGTTTGTTTCTGTTCTTTAAACAATTTGCGGAATTTTGTTTTATATGATAAAAGTAGAATGAAATGATTTTTTAAGAAGATACTCATCGTTATTACATAAAAATTCGAGTTCTAACATTATCAGTTTTCATAATCATTTTATAATCTTGAATTGTTTGCTAAATTTTACAATATTTTTGAACGATTTTACAATTCTACTGTTTTGCTTAGCAGAATTTTAAACGTAACATACAAATACATGGAATTGAAATTTTTTAATATCAAAAATTTTCTGAGTTACTTGATTAGTAATATTAAANCTCCTTTACGAACCTCGTTACGGACCTCGCCTTCGGCTCGGGCCGCAAACCTCTCGGTTCGCAAACAAAGACTTTTCAAACTCGTAGGAAAACTACTGTTACATAATCAGAGATATGTAGAAACTTTCTGGAACAACTTTGACTACCTGAACCTTCATTTTTATAGCTTTTACTTTCTTAAAACAGAACAAGTAAGCTTTATTTTTATCATGTATTTCCTTTTGTTTTAATCTTTTAAATTAAATGGTACATTACGTCACTAGGGCACAGAGTACAAACATGAGTGCCCGACGGCGCAAAGTGCAATTTTATTTTGCGTCCGTGGGCACACTTTGCGCCCAGTAAATCACTTTGGACCTAGAAGGCGCAAAAAACTTATTAACAATAGTAGTTTTCCTACGAGTTTGAAAAGTCTCCTTTACGAACCTCGTTACGGACCTCACCTTCGGCTCGGGTCGCAAACTTCTTGGTTCGCAAACAAAGACTTTTCAAACTCGTAGGAAAACTACTATTTCCAACCTCGGGCGTTTTTGAGAGGCTGGTGTGCCTTCGGTAGGAAAAATAGCATTCGCCACATAAGCGCCATCGTCTCCAGGGCTATTTTGCGGCCCAAGGGACTTGCGAAGCAGGGCCCGAGGGACAAGGTAGCCACGGAGACGATGGCACTTATCCGACAAAAACTACTAATTCTTACCATGGGCCCAAAGTGCAACTGTCGCTTTGCACCCTTGTAATCACTTTGGGCCCACGGGCAGAAAAGTTTTTTGCACCCTCCAGGTCCAAAGTACTTTTCTGCCCTAGGGCCCAAAGTGATTTACTGGGCGCAAAATGTGCCCGCGGGCGCAAAATTTCACTTTGGGCTCTTGGTAAAAAAAACATTCAGAACAACTTTTTATCCATTCGACAATTTCAAAATTATTCACAAAATCTTGTTTTATGTATCAAATTTTTCATGATTAACCTAATAAATTTACCACATGTTTTTTAAAATGAGTAAAATAGGTCAACAAAATAGAAATAGTAGTTTTTGTCGGGTAAGTGCCAGCATCTCCGAGGCTATTTTGCGGCCCAAGGGACCTGTGAAGCAGGGCCCGAGGAACGTAACGTAGCCACGGAACGATGGTGCTTATGTGGCAAGTGCTATTTTTCCTACCGAGGGCGCACCATCCTCTCAAAAACGCCCGAGGTAGGAAAATACCATTATTACTTAGTATAATTAGTTGTTTCATCTCAATAGAGTAAACTCTCAATCACTTATAGTTCGAATCAGTAATGTATCACTAAGCCAGATGTAACGTGGCGAAAATCACTATTTGGTTTTAAGGAGAGTGTCTACATTTTGGGGGGGGGGGTTCAAGAAAGAAATTCAACTTTTTATTGGTATTGTGTACGGATGCCCTATGCATAAGCATTGAAAGATCTATGATTCTCGAATATATTTTTTAACAAATTTTCTTTCAAGAACCCAATCGATTTAAATATTTCTCATTCAAAATGAACATATTTTAATTCGCTACTGATTTTTTTTTTTTTCTAAGCAGCCTTATTTTATGATTTCATTTGTATCAAGAAAAAACAGAAACACAACAAATGCTATCTAACATTTCTATAGGTGGTTTTGGGCTTATTTTGTCCAATTTATATCATTCAACTCGAATTCAAGAGTCGAGAGGAATTACAGTTGATGCCACAAACAGCTGAAGAGCATTTGATTGGACTTGAAGATGAGAATGAGGACAGCGATTCGGATCATGGTGCACCAACGGGACCTGACGTTGAGGTAATGATTTTTTGTGTGTAAATAAATATTTTCAACATTTGCAACATATAGTTGCAGTAAATTAACTACGAGATTTTTTGTACTATCACTATTTCTTTACGTCTTAGTGAAAATAAAAAATAATGTAGCTTCTTAACGAACTTCTACCATTATTTTTATGGAAGATACAATTTTTATATTCGCTAATAATAAAAACTTTTGCCGAAACTAACATTTAATCTAAGGGTGGTTGGGAGTCACGCGGCAAAAGAGCAAAATTACGAGCTTCCCTTACTTTGTGCTTACCACGCACTTTTTGTCACTGAACCAAGAAGTAATACATTATCATTAAATATGTTTTTTCATTATGTCTATATTCTTACACATTCTTTTTCCATGTAAAAAACTGATATTAACTGCTGGTAAAGAACTAAACTTAATTATTTATTTACATTAAAAAATGACTCATGGAAAGTCCAAAGTATCGAAGGTGACTCAGGATACTATAAAAAATAGTGTTTTGAAAGTTATATTGTTATCTGTAGATTTTCATCTAATTCGGACTATTCTTACTGTTTCAGAGATAAAATGGTTTCATACAGGGGGAAGGGGGGGGGTAAAGTTAAAGAACTTCTGTATGACTGGGCATTGACCAACCGCTCTCTTGATTATAGAAAATACATTACTGTTCATTGAAACATACTCTACATCATTACTGTAACATGTTTTGAAAAAATTACTACGTGCACTATAAGATATGTAACTTGTAATCCTTAAAGTTAATAATGTATTAAATTATTTTCTTTCACAAGATGAAAAAACTATTGCCGAATAATTGAAACAATGTTAATCATATTTTTTCCGTAACCGTTTTAATAAAACAGTATGTAATAAATGTTTTTTTTTTTTGTTTAAATCATAAAAATCTTATCATCAACTGGTTTTCGTAGAATGATCTATATGTATGTACAAAAATAAACATATCTCATGATTTCTTCGATTTATTTCAATCAAAACAGATTAGATTTTTTTGGAATTCTCATTATAAATTAACAAAATAAAGTTTTCTTATCAAATTTTTGGTAGGTTTTAATTTGAAAAAGTTTTTTATTTCGATAACTATCGTTGTTTTAAAATATTACAGTTAACATTTCTGAATGATCTGAAAAATTTGTACAAAATATTGCATTTTAAGATAAAAATGTATGGATGTGTGTGGGTGTATGTTTATGTAGAAACTTTTTGGCAAACACTGACTTAGTATTTAATAAAATTGTCACCTGTCCAAAAGTGTAAAGTCCTTGAAACTGCATGACCCGTAGTTTTTTCTTTGAGATTAATTCAATAATATACCACGTTACCAATACAATTAAAGTTGGAAGTAGTAACTAATTAATAAAAAAAAATTTTCTAAAAAAAATATGTGTAATTAACTTTGCCTGTGTTATGAAAAAAAAAAAGATGTTTTATGTGGTATATTTTGAATACCATTATAAATTATTTTCCAATATTGACTAGGTTCTGAAC